TCCAAAATTCGTCGTCCGTGGAAATTGAACCTTAGACCTGCCACTTGGGGGTTGACAACCTATCCACTTCACTAGGTCGCCACACCCCATCAATTTGTGAGATAATATAATAATAGTTAACTTATAAACTTTATGTAATAAACAAGACTGCATTGGAGTTATTTGTCACTAAGTAACTCCTGACTGGTCATAGTGTAATATATTATTGTATTTTGAAAAAATACTATATCTGAATGCTACAAAATCTATATCTTAGTTTCTTTAAAAAAAAAATACTTAGAATTCAATTTAGAAAATAAATTACATATGCTATTACTGATAATAGTGCTAATATAACAAAAACTATTTGATTATAAAATAATGTTGTCTGGCTGCTATATGTTATGCATACTTTGTAGCTAACAGTTAATTATACTTTACAAAAAATTTGTTTACAAACCAAAAAAATAAGAAAATTAATACAGTTTATAATTTACTTAAACAACAAAAAAGATTAAAAAAAGCTTAAATAAAAGTAATAGAAAGAGATAATTTACTTTTATCTAATTTTGTAAATACTAAATTTTATTTTTAAAAAATAAAAGCCAGTAAAATTAATTATAGAAATACAGATTCAGAGCTATCAAATATAAATATTATTTCTAAACTACTTTATTTAATTAAGAATTATTAATTTATATATTATTCTTAGAAAAAATTATTAAATTAAAAAATGCAATAATCTGATTAGCAACTGATTCATCACTTTCTTTACTAATTACTTATACACAAAATTATAGAAAAAAATTTTAGAAACTTATTAAAAACCAACTGTTTAAACTAACTTTACAGATCTAAAAAAAAAAATAGAGCTGATAAAGAAGTTATAGCAAGAGCAAAAAAGAGGAAATTTAGATAATTTAGTAAAAAAGATAAAGAAAAAAGCATCCCAGTCAATATCTTAAAAAATAAATTTGGAAAATTTGCTGTAATCTAAAAATACTAGCAAATAACTCGTGACGAAACCACTGAGAATTACTTTGCTAAATAAACAAATTAAATAATAAGAGTTCAAATGAAATGTTATTTAATGATGATGTAATGAACTTAATGAGATTATCCCAAAATATTAACTAATTTAATTTAGATATGTTAATATAGTTAGCTTATTTATTTATTAAAAAATTGGAAAGTGTAGTATTTATGAATGTATTTCTAGAGAGGGTTATTTAAAAATATGAATGAATATATAAAGATCATATGATAGTAAATGATTATCAAGTTTAATAGTTCATTTGAAATATACGTATTAGTAAGATATGTTTAATATCGGTTTAATTATATATGTAAATATGTATTTATATATATAATAGTAAAATTTGGCATATTTTGTTTGAGTCTGATTAGAAGTAAATAAAACATTGTTATATGTCAGAATTTTTTCAAACATTTAATGGAACATAACACGAATTATGCTATAATTTGTGGTGAGGATTAAGCTAAATTTAGTGTATGATTACTTATGATTTATTTAGATTGGGGAAGTTTTTGTTTAAATTATAGGATATAGCTAAATCATCTTTTAATGTTTAAAAGTATAATTAAAAAATGTTTACTGCATTAAGAAATTCGAAAAGTGGTAAGCATTCGTGATGGAAAATATGTAGCAAAAAACAATAGTGTTTATATATTTATATTGATATGTGTAGATTTCTGATTATATTGTGGCTATATAGTGCTAACAATTGTGCGTGTAATGTGGCTTAGTATAAATTCTATCGGTGTCGAAATGTTTAAGTAACACATATTTATATAACAAAATGTGTACTTTAGTGCAAGAAAAAAATTACGTATTAGTTTTTATAGTTTAGTAAGATTAGTTATTAATAGATAATAATAAAATTTACTTATAAGTGTTAAGAATGGTTAAATAAAAGAGTAATATCGTTTTTACAAATTTATGAAGTTTTTTGATTTTAATTAATTAATTTTAATTAATTTAATTTTGATTGATTTTTAATAAAATTGATATGATATTAATATGCCTTGCTTTGCAGACACTATTGTAAGAATCAAGTTCAGTAAACAAAATGTAAAGAAAGAAAGTAGATTGATTTCAGTATGGGCTGTCGAAACGTATCCTGTTTGTAATGAAGATTGTGTAATTGAGTTAGTACTATTTGTGCTGATTGATAGTGAAGAAAGAGATATAGACACACAGGCTATTTTTGAAAAAGATGAATTCTATTCTGTCGGGGGAAAAATTGTTCCTAGAAAATATAATAATGACGTTAGGCCGAAGGTAGTTTTATTATTTACACAAAATAGTACAAAAAGTTTTTTTAAAGAGTTATGTTTATATAGTATATTTTTTTTAGATGACGGTCTCATCTTCTACACAGTTAAGAATACTCGATAAGGTTCTATTACTAAACAAATGTCTCTTAAAAGTCTCTTTGGTCGTTATTCCCCAAGGATTACCAAACGAAATCGATAATGATGTAAATGCTATTTTTGAGATGTTGATAAGTGATTATGTTATTCGTGATCATAAGTTTATTGTAAAGATTATTTATCCTTATCATAAATGAAGGTTTGACTATATTAAAAACATTATCAAACCACAAGAGTCAATTATTTTTGTGGTTGGCATAATGGAAATTATCGAAGGTAATTTTTACGTATATGCTAATGAGATCAATAATATCAATATTTCTAAGATTAATGTTAGTGATAATAAGAATCTGACAGCATTAACATCAACAAAGTCAGCACGATCGAAACTTTTGTTTACTCATCAGAATATTAAAAGTGTAGAAATCGGATCTGGTATTAAAGAATCATCGAATGACTTTATGAATAAGTATCAACACGAAGTGTTGTCGGATGATTCATATTCATTAAGATATAACAAAGGTAAAGAAGTTGACAGGAATATTGAAAATTCGGATGATATTGAAGGTGTTGTGCAGGAAATTGATTTTAGGGATGAAATAGAAGAGGAGAAAGAATTATCTGATGATAGTAATAGTAAAAAAAAGTCACGAAGTTATCGAAAAAATAAAAAACACATGACACGTAGTTCGATTTATAGAAATAAAAAGTTATAAATAGATGTAGATGACAATGACGATATAGAGTAGTAAAGTTCATATATGTTTACGTAAATTGTTTTTTATTTTTTTTTTAGTTTATGCATATATTTTTTTAAATTTAATTTTTTAGAAGTTTTATTTTTGGGTTAGTGTAAATAAAATTGGTGGTATAATCACTATAAATTCAAAAGGGTTCAGCATTGTGGTTTCGATTGTGAAGGAAATTGATTCTATTTTAGGAATGGATAATCGTTGATTAGTTACTTGTTTCGTTAGGATTATGCTTTCTAGGAAAATGGCTTTTAATACTAAAAGTTGTATGGCATTCGAATACATATAAGTTTTTAAGTTAACGTATTGATATATATTTTTATTAAATAAGTAGCCATGCGACGTTGTCATGCAAAACCAGGAATGGAAGGTGGATTTTCAGATCGAGTTGCAGATGAAACTGCTTTTGTTATAAGTTTTTTGTTTGCTTAGCTTTTATAAGTTTTATTTGCAACTTTAAATTAGATTATATGTGCGGTAGGTCGAATACTAACTACGTTATTTAGGTGGACTTTATATGCAATTTAGATAGACAAGGGTATAATAACCAATCGAATAAAAAAGAAACACATTATTTCAGATGCCTATAAACTATACTCTATGTCGTATGTTGTACAAACTTTGTTTCTGGTAAGTGTAAAAAATTACCATAAAAAGAACAAATGCACGTGAGTGCCTTTTTGTCTGGCTGACACTTCTGGTCTAAATTCTTGGTCCGGAATTTGTAAAATTAAAGGATATTGTGCATAAAAATAAATGTGAAAAAGATATCATTATGAAATTGTAAGAAATTGGTAATAATGGGATATTTTCTATCATAATGATTTTCCAGTGTTTAAGTTTTCAGTATGAAATTTTGGTCATAAGATGTAACTTTTAAAGTAAAATATACAAAGAATCTTTGATGTAATATGGACTTTTAGGAGGTAATAGCAGAGAAAATGTTCGATTCAAAATGAATACTTCTTGCTTGTGATTAATCATAAATTAAGTTATTTATGTTAGATTCAATTTTGATGGATATAAAGCGTCATCAGTTTTAATATATGTGTAACTTTAATGGTCTTTGATGTTTTCAGAGGCTTGAGATCTTTTGACATAAGGATTCTCATTGTACATACGTTTTATATTATAGAAGATCTTGGGATTTTATTAGTTATCATTGGGAATTATTGTCATTATGATACAGTTTTTAAAATGTAATAAAAGTGTAATGATGTTGATTACAAAACTTGATTATTTAAGCATTTGGTTATATAAAGGTTTAACTTCTAATATACATTGCTTTTACTCTTTTTCTTTATTTAGTAGGTTACGATATCGGTGTTACAGGATAGTAAAGACTGAATTCAGGTTTTGTACAAAGGTATTTTAACACAAAGGGAGAGAAAATATACTTTGATTATCAGTTAGAAATAATATAAATTCAAGATGGGTTGTTTCATTAAAGGTAAATTTTCATTGTTTGTATATATTCTTTTTGTCTTAAGATAATGCTAATATTTTAATATTTAATATTACATTACGTATTTTGATTTTTTTCTTTTGCTATTATCAGGAATTGGGTAACAGGACTATTCTAGTCATGTTAGTTTTATAGTTGATTTTTATTACTGACGATATGATAAATTTTACTTTCACAGATGTTTTATCAGTTTTGTGGAATTTGCTAAATTTTTTCTTTATTTCATTTTTAGTACCAGCATGTTATAAAAGATATATGGTACTTTCAACCAATATTATACAATGCAATATGTAAATATATATATAATGATTATAGGACAATGAAGAAGACAGTTTTATATAACATATGTTATCAGTAATATTCGATTATTAAAAACCGTCTATTCAGAGAAAGGATCAAGTGGAATTAATTTCAATAGAATGGATAATTAACTATGTAAATTTGTTAAGATGTTGTCATTAAAAATTTCTTTATAAACTATATTTTTTGTAAAGATGAAATTATTAGCAATGTGATTACTATTAACTAAAATTTTAATGTTATTTATCGATTGTACTCTAGATAGGGCCACATATAATTGACCATGTGAGAATACCGGTTCTGGTAAGTATAGGCCCATACATGGAATAGTTTGTCCTTGTGCTTTATTAATAGTTAATGTGAAGGCTAAACAGATAGGAAATTGACAACATATAAGTTGAAAGAGGAGTTGATTATCTGACAGAGTTAAAGAGATTCTAGGAATAAATACACGCTTTCCACAGTATGAACCAGTTAAAATTTTAGCATCAAGAACATGTGGTCGAAATGCCCGAATGATGAGGTGGGTTCCATTGCATAAGCCCTGAGCAGAGTTAAGATTATGTAAAAGTATGACAGGAGCACCAACTTTAAGTGTCAGTTTGTAAGGAGGAATTCCGTTAGGTGTAAGGGTATTAAGGAACTCTATTGGGTATAGACTTTGATGAACCGTATTACTTTCTTCTACAGAATCAGCAGATAGATAAGTATGTTCAGTTCTTGAAAAGACATCGATAATTTGTTTATTGATCATATCAACATCTGTATTTTTTGTTGTTAGAATAGCATGCTTCATAATGTAGTTTTTATCCATAAAATTATTTTCAATATTAGTAAAGATTTTAGATATCAAAGATTCGAGACTTTTGTCAGTAAGGTTTACTATATTTGGCAGTTTTATTATATCATTTCCGATTTCAGAAAAAATAGGTTCTCAGCCTTCACTGATTCGTAACAAGAAATCCACAAACTGAATCAAATTGATGTTGGAAGTTTGGGAAGTGCGTATATTAATTTCTAGTTTCATAGTATGAACATGTTGCCACAGATATGAATTTTTCAAAGTTGCATTTACTATTTGACTTCTTGTACCTTGGTAAATTACTGGTAGAATTTGGCGAAAATTACCACCTAAAATAACTATTTTCCCACCAAATACAGTGTTAATCCTGGTAATATCTCATAACGATCGATCAACGCACTCGAAGGCTAACTTATTTATCATCGGGGCTTCATCCCATATGATAACTTTTGCCATACGAATGAGTTTAGCTAGATTAGATTGTTTTGGGATATTACAGATAGACGTATCTGTTGGTTTTAGCAGAATTTTGAATCTTGAATGGGCAGTTCTTCCTCCAATCATAAGAAGAGCTGCAATTTTCGAAGATGCAACAGCAAGTGCGATATCACCCATGGAACGTACTTTAGCTAAAATTATGTTATATAGATAAGTTTTCCCTGTGCCTCCTGGTCTGTCAATAAAGAATAATCTTTGATTGCCATTATCTACAGAATCCATTACAGTGTCAAATATCTTTCTTTAATCAATATTTAGCGTATCAATACGATCTAAGTAGGTTTCTAATATTCGTGGATCATAGTTTGTTTCTTCAACAAATAGTAGATTTGCCGTACGTAGTCGAATGTTTTGAATAAGCGCATTGTTAGATATTGGAAGGTCAGAAAAATCTGAAATGGATTTTTCATTTTGGAATAGGTGAGATTTTATATCAAGAATTGCTTGGGCAATGATAGTAGGATGATTATGTTCTAGGGTTAAATCTTTTGATCTAGCCTTATATACAAATTCATCTGTTAAAGTAATCAAATTACTATCTCAGAGAGATTTTATATTAGTTGGGTCACCGTATGCCAAAATAAGGGAAAATAGGAGTCGTAGTTGAGTAGACATTCCGAAGAGAGCTGCTTCTCGAAGACATAAAATCCATTCTTAATTATCATTAATCAACCCGAGTTGGCATGCAGCTTCTTTATAGGAGGCATATTCAATGCCACTTATTGTTCTAAGGTGACGAAATGAAGTGGGACCACAGATATGAGATAATAACATTCTGAGATAAAAACGTTCTACATCTTTTGGATTAGACATATACATTCTTCCAATTACTTTATTACCATTGCGTGATCAGGGATACCAATTTTTATTTTTCCAAATGTAATGTTTTGGAAAGTCTATGTAAAGAAGATTTTTTGCAAGAGAATCAGTTGCATATTTGTAAAAGAAATGTGTTAGTTTTGTGGTCGAAGCTCGTGGTAATATTTCTGATAGGTCATCATTTTGTTAAAACAGGACAAATTGCTTGTCAGGTAGATGCACGGGTAATCACTCGATTTTATGTGATTTACGCTGTTGTTCAAAGTCAAATAGTTGCCAGCAAGCCTTAGTTGCTAAGATATAGCGAGCATCGAGGTACAAAGATATTTCATCTCCATTGTCTAACTGGCCTTCTACAGATACAACTGCTCTATCATTACCTTTATATATATACTTATATAAGTATTTGATTGAGGTAACGCTGGTGCAAATTTCAACATTAATATGGCAATTATATTTATTGCAAAGGTATAGGTTGTACGAGACAACCCATCAGTTATCAAGCGATATTTTTTTTATTTCAACACAACGATTATTGTTGCAATGCCGATAGATCGGATAGTTATTTGCATCTTATGTTGTTTTCATACAAAAATCACGTAGATAATATTTGCTACACTTACCATCTTTCATACAGGGAGATGATGGGTTTTCATCACCACAAGGCCTAAGTATCATATTTTTAGTCACAGTCTGATATAGCTGTAGGTGAAGAACTATATCAGGAATTTCTGCAGATACTAAAAGATCGTAATCATCAGGTGTTTGTGGTTTGTCATCACTTGCAAGAATTATAAGGATATGGGCATGTGGTAAACCACGTTTTTGAAACTTGATCACATGAACGTGAGCTACAATGGATCCAAGAACATTTCTATCTATTATATCTTTAATAATTTCTTTCATCTTTAAATGAAATACTCTCACAACAATATCTGGACGATCACATGAATGTTGTCCTGGTAGTAATTCCACTAATATTTTGAGCCATTTTGGATTGCAAGTAACAGTAATAAACAAATCTGGTTTTCCAAATTCACGAACTATAGCCATCGCATCCTGATATTGCTGCTGCATGTAGTGTATACTTCCAGTAAATGATGAAGGTAAAATTACTCGAGTACCAATATTAGCAAGATCATTAGTCAAGGTAAAAACATGATCCTTCAATCCTTGGTAAAGTTCTGCTCTAAGTTCTTTTTGATTAAATCAATACTATCTTAACATATTTTGTTCCCATTTTACGAATTGATCTACTATATACTGTTGGAAGAGACAGCCAGACAAATGTAATGTACTTTTTATTACTTGATTACGAGCTTGAAGTCTGAATGAGACGAATTGTCGAATAGTCACATGCTTTTGTCTTTGTCGGCCATGAAGTTGGTCATTCGTCAGAACATTTACATGCATAATGCCTTCATGCCAACCATATTCACCATAGCGAAATAGTAGTGGGTATTGCAAGGGGTCGTAAGCCCCATGCAATTCAGAAACACGTTGTAAAGATCTATCACATCTTGTCAAAATTATATCTCTTCTGAACGTAGTGGTCTCAGTATCAATCATGATAGCAGCAACTTCAGAAGCGCTAGGTCTATTATATCTTCTCATATCTTGACCATGAGTGCTACATATACGTAGCTTTACATTTGAATTGGTAAGAGCTGCTTCACCTGCTGCACAAAAAGAATGCATGAATAGATTAATTTGATGTAATTCACGTTAAAGATCTGTAAGCATGTTAAGGTCTAAGTGTGGAAAAATTTGTTGTTGATGACACAATTCATTTATAAAACCTGTATTATGTATATAGAGTTGAGTGAATTGCGCAGGGTTTCTGGATTCAGATAATAAAGAACCTATTAAATGATACAGAGCACCTTGTATACGAAATGTATATACACCATGTTTGAAATTTGCAAGGGTTCGATCAATGTTTGCTCCTAGAGACGTAAAAGCAAAGACCGAATTATAAGAACAGATATCATAAACATATGCTTCACTAGTATTAGGATTTGCTTCAGTAAGAAGACGTTCTAAAACCGGTGGAGAAGGATCAAGAGGTGCTAAAACGACCTTTCCATTTAAGCAACAGAAATTAATCGTTTCATCTTTCCATTTTAAAGCTTGACATTTATTGCATACAACATTCATTCTATCAAGTTTATAATGATTATTTTCAATATTATCATCCTAGAGTATTTCAAAGTGAAATCACGAACATTATAGCAGCCAATTTTTCTATGACTATTAAGACAAAGAATATTCTCAGTATCATGATATAACTGGTGTTGATGGCGATTAATTTCATGGATTTGTTCCTTGACTGTAGAACTTAGGTTAGCACGATATCGACATTGTCATAGCTTGCTTTTCAATTGATTTACATCGGGACTGTTATTTGCAGTATTAGAAGACTTTGATAAATAACATGAAATCGCTTTTCTTTTTCTATCTAATCGTCTTTTCTTAGATTGAGGACTTTCCAGCATTGTTGGTGTTGCATAATTAGGATCTTCCCTAATGTGCAAGGGTGTTAGTAGTCTATTACGTTTATGCGACATTGTGCACTGTTCAAAAAAAAATAAAACAGAATAAGTAATTAATTTAATCTAAATAAATATCTTTTTAAACATGGATTTATTTTCAATTTCACGAATATTACTAACAAATTTCTTCATTCTCTATTTTATTTTAATTTATTTTATGAACTATGAATTTTAATTTATTTTATGATTTTATAAACAATACATTGGTTATTTATAAAAAAACTGTTTTACAAAATTGTACTAATAAAAAAAAAATAGTTAATCCACTGATGTACCTAGTGAAGCATATGCGTCATCATGAAAAAAAAAAATTAATTCGTCAATAATCAGACTTTTTAAAATGTAAATTTGTAAATAAATGTGATAGCTTAAATTTTAGTTTTCCCTTGGTCGCATTCATATCATAGAGCCACATAGTAAATCATTGCTACATAATTTTTGCAGATCAAAAAAAGATAGTCAACAACATGTAACGTTCATTTTTTCACAATCAACATTACTTTATTCAAAATAAGTACATAAGCAAATGGTATAATAAAATCAACAGATCTATAAACCTTGTCAACTTAAATGTGACATGAATTCAACAGGCGTTGAAATATGAAATGAACGAATAAATGCACCAATAGAAATATTGCAAGATATGAGAAAAAGTAACACGAATGTGCAAACTGCGCCACTACAAAACCATAAAAATAAGGTAACACAAATGTGCAAATGGTTCCACCATAAATATAACAAAAGAAAAAAAAGCATGCACATAATGGTAATACAAACAACACCAATATGGAAAGCAGACAAACAAATCGTGACGGACATCGTCAAAATATTAGTATAGATAGATTTGTAAATTATAGCAACATATAAATAGACAAACAAAACAAACATTTGTATTAATAGATGCACAAACAAGTCCAATTTGAATAGTGATAAACATAACCAAGAAAGTTTCAAAACAACAAGTAATAAATAAAGATCACTAATAATTAGACTAAATATAATTAGCATATAAAATTAAAAAGAAAATCTAATATCAATTTATATCAAAAGAGCATATTAAGTAGCAAATAATATATATAACAAGATATTTTTAATCAAGTGAATAAAACCTTTACAATATCAGATAAAGAAGATGAAATTGTTGCTATACTAATAGAACAAGATTTAGTAAAGGTTGTTTTACTATATATAATTAGAAAAATAATTCAAAAAGCAGAAGAAGAGCAGTTAGAAAAGAAGATTAATATTATCAAACAAAACAAAAATATTATAATAAAAGAATATACAATAAAATAGATACAAGACAAAAAAAAAGAAGTACAGTCAGACCTCTATACAATCACCAAGTTGGTCACGCCTTTATCTGGTGATTATATAAAGGTGTGACTATAATTATAAACCTCTATATAATCACAATTATAGAAAAAATTATAAATAGTGATTATAAAAATTTTTAATATATTTGATTAGAAATAATATTAAAATATAGTGACACAAATTAACTGATTAGTTGGTAATTATTGTTAGCAAATTTTGTGCATCTCACAACATGAGAAATCTGAGAATCGGGAATCTATTATATGCAAGACTGTGATTGGCTAAAATTATAGTAGCCAATTTATTGTGCATATTATGTATAAAGTTCTAATATTATATGTTTTTTCAAATTTTAACTGAAGATTTCTCAATAATGGTCTGATTTATTTTCAATACTTTAGACTATTTTTGGATTTTACTAATCTGTAGAATTTGAAAATAGCTTTTGAATATAAAAAATGAACAGACATTATCAAAATAAATTCACCTGAAATTTGAGAAAAATTATGCAAATAAGTTAAAAATTTTAGTGTTTCTTGGTCAGACAATTATAAGATATTGTTTATAAATAAATGTTATACTAGAAAATCGAAAATTGATTAGGAATCTTTGGAATTGTAATTTTTTAGGTGGCAGTTTTTAAAAAATGAAGAAATTAAAATGATTACACAGATTTTTAGGTATTTAGCAATCATCTGCTGATTACAGTAATTTGAAAAGCTTTCTCAGTTAAACAATACTTCAATAGAGTGACATAAACAAAGTCTGTTATAGCTAGAGATGTTATGGTCCAGTCTGGCTTGGTCTGGTTTATAAAAAACTGTTATGCATTTTAACTGTTAATTTGTGAACTAAACTGGACTAAAGACCATAATTGAGATCATTATTAGACCAAAGGGAATGTTACAAAATCAATTTTAACTATTACAATTTCAGTAACCAATCGAGCTTATATGTATTAAAATAATGCATCTATTTAATTCTTACTACAAATATGCATATTTATTATAATAATATAAGATTTATTAGTTCTAAACCATTTTTTAAACCAAAATTGGAAATTGGGCTATACTTGATCAGGACCAATTTAGCCAGAACCATATTGTAACCATCATATGGGAGAGCTTGGTATTATCATGCTGAGTTTAGCTCTGATAGTTGATGTTAGAGAAGTTATGTGAATTGGGCCATGAAATACAATATTTAGAATTTATTAGACATTTATTATATAAAGGAGTGTGAATTTATAGGATTTTTGTTTTGAGGGATTTAGAGAGCATGCCTTTTTTTTTTTTAACTAAGGGCAAAGGCATGCTCTTATATACATTTCAATTTACAGAGCGTTTACATGATAATTCTAACATTTATGTCATTTCCTTCACGTTTGTGTGTTTTCTATAACATGTACATGATTCTTATCATGTTTATGTGATTTCTAGCACATTTATATAATTTTCGCATCATAAACATAATTCACATGTATTATGCCACTAAAAATATATACATACAATGGCTATTAAAGTAAAATTAACATGGCTGTAGCAGTACAATTATGGAAGGTAAGCTTCAACTTATGAATTGAACAAATATGAAAGTGAGAAATATAGAATAAAATTATCAGTTACAGTATTTAATCAGAACCATTATTATTATACGTAGTCTTAAACATTTATTTTTTAAGACTATAACAATTATTAAGTGTTTTTTATTAAGTTTAAATTAAAAAAACTATATCAATATTATAGGTTTTACTTGATATCGCTTATTTGCATCTAACAATGTAAATAGCTCATAAAACAATAGTATAGCTTTAATTAAGCATTACATATCTTTTCACATTGTGGCCCTTAACCAATTTTACCATTGAATAGACCTTCACGGTTACTATCAAATTTTTTATGATGCTAACTCTAGTTAACTAATTAGATAACTTTTAAAATGTACAGACATAGAGTTTGATATAGATAAATGAAACCTGTTATAACATAAAAATGCTAATGAAAAAAAAACTTTTCTAATAATAAGAAGACTTACAAATAATAAGAATAAAAGATTTACTCTTTATAAGTAAAAAAAGTCTGTTATCTCAACCTGTTTTTTGGCTTGAAATTCAAGCCTTTTAACTATTTTAAAGTATTTTTTAAAAATATAAATATCTTCTGTTTTAAATTCACCAGTTTGTTGTTGCTCAAAAAAGGTTATCCAAGTTCACAATAATTTACTTGCATCACTTAATAACACTAATTCAGGTTCCTTTTCAGAATCATCAGAACGACTTGGGCTTTCATTTTTAGCATGCATTTCATCTTGAATTAAACTTATAATATCATTTTCATTTAAGAAATCTTCTGTTGGAACTTTTTCATCCAAGTTATGAAAAAAATCATTTAACACATTTGCTAATGAATTAGCGTAAGGATTATTATTACTTAAATTATCAACGATCATTTGATTAATATCTTCTTTTTCATAAGTTAAGATATCCTGCTGAATTTGCATCACATTCGTTATATCACTTTCAGTAATGACAGGTAATATACCTGTTTTTTTCTAGCAATTAGATATAGTTTCTTCAGATACATTACTCCATGCGTCTACTATATAATCAATGGCTTGTTTAATAGTTAATTTGTTTCCATTTATGTCCATGCCATCATCAAAAAGGTTTAAAATATAATGACAATAAATTTGTTTATAATGCACTTTAAAACTTGTGATGATTCCTGCATCTAGTGGTTGAAGATGGCTTGTAGTGTTTGGTGGTAAAAAAGCCACCTTAACATGAGTTAAATCAATTTGAAAAATATCTGGTTGTGTAGTTTTACTTTTACATTTAGCATTAGAACCTATTAATATTAAATTCAAATTTTTTAGATAACTTTATTTTGTGTTAAAGTTAAAATTTAAGAAATACAAGTTTTACTTAAAATAATAATTACCATATGTTGATTTTGACATTTTAGCACGACCTTTACGAAAATTTCCACATGATCTAATTGAAGTAGAATTTTCTTCACCAAAATTATCATGTTCATCATTAATTCCATCATCATTGTCATCCTGATCATGTGGATCAAAATGTGATGGTGCGTTGTCAACTAAAAGTAAAATTTTTTTATTTTGAGCTCTAAATTTGTTGTCTAGATAGCGAAGTATCTCCTCAAATAAAAGTGAATTCATTCATGCTTTAGGATTTGAACGATAGTAAACTGGAAGTCAGTTTAAATTCATTCGTCCAAAGGATCTTGGACGTGGTGATTTACCAATTACCCATGGTACTAGTTTATCAGTTCCTGTTGCATTGAAGCCAAAAAGAACTGTTACTCTAGTTTTATCTTTTTTTTGACCAAGGACTTCTCTATGCCTTTAAAGTTTAATAATATTTGAGAATTTTATGAAATTTTTTTTAAGTATTGTATTATTAAAAACTACCTGAATGTTTTACTTGAAGTTTCAGTGCTAGTTACAGCCATCCATTTATTGCTCTCTTTTAAAATTTTTGAAATAGTACTTCAATTGATTGATAAATCTGGATACCTTTCATTAAAGTAACTAGCAATCTCGTGATATCTCTTGTTCTTATTAGTTTCTGCCAACTCACAAATTTGACATTTAAGATCATCACTAATAGCAGTATGACATTGTTTTTGTTAATTAGATATGTTATTGAGAGCAAAAAATAAAAAATTTGAAAATGATATAAATTTAAATTTATTAGACCAAAAGCTTCAACGTACGATATTATGGTTTTATATTGTTATTGTTATAAGAATTTGTAATCTTACTAATCCAATTCTACTGATTCATTTATTAAATAAACTGCAAGATATGCAGACACAATCATTGGTATGTTAGTAAGTTTCAATCTTTCATAATTATAGTTGAATCAAGAATTATCTTCTTGTATTATTCATAAGATTTTAAAACCGCTAACACAATCGTGTTTGTGCTAACTGTTTTTAATTATTAATTTGATAACACCAATTGTTATTGCTCAATTGACGATAAAGAAACATATAAAAATAGATTCACTAACTCCTATCTGGCTATAATTCACCTATAGGTAATCAACAATGTGATTTTATTAACAAAACATACTATTTCTAATCTTTTATTGCATACTAGATATAGAAATTTGATTCAAATATTTATATGCATTCATAGTATTGACCTCTAAAATATTTGCATCTAGCAAGATATTCTAAACTAATGAATACACTAAATTATAACTATTCAGTGGATTCAGTAATACATACTGACGTGAATTACTTAATTGTCCATACACTTATATTTGTTCAGGCCTTATTTTATGTTTATATGCACTCGCTTTCGTTTTTCTTATCGTTCCTTCTCTGATGCACCTAACCACACTTATAATAACTGCCACCTAACTTCCTCCCCTCAAAGTTCTATAACATTATTACTTTGGTTCTGGTAATTCAAGAAAAAAATCAAGAGGGGGTTCGATCTGTAAGATCGAACCTTTTATTATTTATTTTCATATGTGATTGCATCATTGATTCAAAAAATAGATTCAAAATTACACTGAGAGTCTGTAATAATAAGCTCTAAAATTACATAATGTTACAATAGACTCTAAATTACTATAATAATAAGCTCTAAAGTTATACAACATTATCAATCATTATTAGTAGATATTAAAGATTATAATTTATTCCTGCTTTACTTTATCCCCAGTGGATGCAACTAATCATATCCTGATACATTGTAAATTAGGGCAGCTCATTACAATTTGGCGAGTATACTTTCACTGTCTACCTTTACTGTTTATTTTTACTAACATTTTACTTAATTAACAATTTCTTTATTATGATATTTTGTCCAACTGGGCCTACCATAAGATAAGTATCTCTTTACAATTCGTTTGTTCTTTATATGCTAACTTTTGCTAATTATTTTACTCTATTCTTTTAGATTTTTCCACCAATCCTCAGACCGATTGTTCCTTTAATTTCACCATACTAAAACTTAATCGTCATGACTATATTCTATTCTGTTTTGATCATATACGATTGGTGACAATTATGCATGTTTCATTTCAATTTGGTTCAGTTACAAATGCATGCATCGATCGGGTACAGGGTATGATCGTTGATCATACTACATTGCCACCACGAGAGTAAAATCGCCACCTAAAAAAAATTTCGAAATAAATTTCATGCTGTTAAGTTAGAGTTAGTATCTTGCCTCTAATGTTAGGATTAGTATATACAATACATACCAAAATTTTACAAGGAAAACTTTTTATTAATATGCAGAAGGTTCTTTCATAAACTCAATTTTGAGCTTTTAACAAAATGAATGTTTATTTTGAATTTTTCTAATCGCACTACATTATACCTGATATTGAAATTTAATTGGCTAGCAAACTTTTTGAATAGCGATTTTACCCTGGTTGTTGCCACCTAAGTTTAGTTGCTTCTAAAATAGCACTAGTAATATCACAACAACCACACAACTAAATCTGATTAAAATTGGTTTATTTCAAGAAAAAATTTTTACCAAATTTAGTTTGCAGTTTTTGTGATATCATTGGCACTATTTTAAAATCTAATAGTTCCAGTATGTATGTATATTACACTGTAAAATGAAATGCCAATAGCGATATATTTAAGGATTACATAATATTATTTATAGCCAATCAAAGTTATTAATTTATAATTAGTTAGTGATTACAAAGAGGTTTATTTGTTAATAAAATTTCTAAATTTATTAAATTATATTGTGATAGTGATTATAAGCAATTTGTGATTATATTGAGGTTTTTATAATATATTTAAGTCTGTTGCACAAAATCAAGTGCTTATATAGAGGTGTGACTATATAGGGTGTGATTATAAAGAGGTCTAACTGTACAGTGATAGTTAACTAAATCAAACAGAAATTAAGAAAATTATATAAAGTAATACAAGAAAAGAAGACAGAAAACAAAAAAACAATTGAAAAAAACTACTAAAAGCTTACAAAAAGAAGTAAATATAAAGGTAAGCCTAATAAACAATAATCAAAAAGAGAAAATCTGTCTATACAAAAAAGAAATGCTAAAGAACAAAAAGAAGAGCAAAAATAAGAAGACATTAAAACAAAAATTAAAAGAGAAATTAACATAGTTGGAAAATCTCTAAAAGAGAGCATATAGGCTTTAAGAAAGAGAAACTATAACCAAAACAACAGTTTATTTGCTAATATACTAGTACACAACATATTTGGAAAACAAAAAAAGAGTATATAAAATTTATTAAATAGCCATTAAGAAACAATGTACATATTAAAGACATTAGAAAAATCTTTAAAAAAGAAAACTTATAGATAGAAGTAGACTTGACTGTAAATATGACAGAAGTGAAGCAATACAAAAAATTAACAGAAAAGAGATTAACTGGTACAAAATAATACTAAAAAAAAAAAAAAATACAAGAAAAAAAATTATACAAAATTTGACAAAAAAGAGCAACAAAAAAGAAGTAACATGCCAAAAATAGAAAAGAAAAAGCAAAAAATAAAAGAAAAATAAAGTGAAGATCAACATGAAACAGATAAAAAGCATGAAAATAAGAACTACCTAATGATATAGAATCTACCAACAGATATAAACAAAAAACAATTAGAATATATTTGTAAAAGATTTAAAAAGCTCATATAGTAAAAATTAAAAGATCTAAATATAAAGTCTTAGCAATAGTACAAGTAAAAAAACCAAATAAAAGAAATATTCCATTGGGTATATAGTGAGATGCTCTAAACTAGTAAGTTTGTTACTAATCAAAGGTTAGCTTCATGTAACATTTGAATAGTTTTTGTCAAAAAAGGCATATAGATTTAGTGAGCAATTTCAATTCAGATTTGGCTTATCTTAGATAATCTATACTATATTGAAACTATTACTCTACTATTCTAAAATTACAGTATTCTATACTACTTCAGGAATACTAGACTGACAAAAGTAGAATTTATTAATATTATAGGTAAGTATTTTATTATGATGATAGTTCTCTACAGTTATTTGCAGAAGAATCTTTATTTGATTTATGTAAAATAAGTTGTTTATTAATTCTTATATTAAAATTTACCTTATTACTAGAATGAAATTACAGGTTATTTATAAGTAAAATTTTATTTATCATTAGGGTACCAATATCCATTAGCACACTTATAATAATAATAGCACTTATATTGCATATATTAATTATACTGATTATAATTAATATATGCAATATTTGTATTATAATTATTATTACAGAATTTTAACTTTGGTAAGATCTTTCTAGCTAAGGCAAAATCATTACTACTGATTGTGTGACGATAATCTTATGATGAAATCAGTGATTTATTGATCACATGTTCCAGATCTAAAACAGTTAATAATAACAAACTAGTATGAGTAACAATAGAAAAAAAAGACTATAAGGCAAGAAAAAATCATAAAAAATATAGCAAAACTAACAAAACTACTTAAAAATCACTTAGAAGTCTTACTTCTATAAAGTTTAAAAAATAAAAGAGTAAAGTCAGTTTATATTCCATCAAATAGAAATAAACTTAAAAAAAAACTGTTATAGTAATGCTTGTAACTGAAAAAACATAAAGATAACTTAGTTAAAATTAATTATCTTTAATAATTTTTAATTATATTAGGTAAATAAAAAAAAAAGAGAAATAAGAAGAAGAGAAAGCTTAAAAGAAGAAAGAGACAGAAGCTGGAACAGATTTAGCCAAATCTTAGATATAAAAGTAATCAGAAGCAGAGAGCAAAAACAGAAAAATAAGACATATATGAACAAAGCTAAAAAAAAAAAAAATTTTAAAACTACAAATTAGTAAAAAAAAAAAAAAAAAGCAATATTAAGAACCAAAATTCAGAAGATCCAACAAGATATATACAAAAAAAAAATACATGGATAAAAGACATATTGGGCCAAATTTGAAAAAAATTAGAAAAATTAGAAAAAGCAAAAGAGATTGCAAAGGAGAGCTCAATTAATCATTGTTGAAGGCACTTCAGTTGAAGTAATAAAAATAGACAAGAAGTTTGAAAAATTTTTGTGAAGAGAAAGAAAAGTATTTGAAGATAAAACATTATCTTTTTGTTAAAATGAAAAAAGAGCAAAAAAAAAAAGAAAAAAGAAAAACTAATAGAAACAAAACAAAATTAACTAAAAGAAAAATAAAATAAAAAAAGAAAATGATAAAGATAGTATGCTATAATATTAACAGTTTAAAAACCAAAGATTAGAAGCTTGAAAACCTACTTAGTTGTATAGAAAAAAAAAGTTGTAATATTAAGAATCATGAAAACAAATTTTACAAAAAGAGAAAGAAAATTCCTAATATACAAAGCAACTACAGGGAGGTGACAAAAATATTTCTACACCTAAGGACTTGGCTTATAACTCAAAAACTTACTAATTAACCTATGTCCTTGACTTGACTATATGAAACCTTATTCCTTGATGATTATGTCATATCATTTTTAGATCATATACTTACATAATTAACAAGTTATTTAATTTTGCTTTTAAGATTTTGATAAATTTGGTAAGTATTTATGTTTCTATACAAATATTTCAATAACTATCAATCTAATTTCAATGATATTTTATTATTTTATAAATAAAGTTTTTCTCTATCTACTATATAAGTTTCATAGAATTTTAATCAATAGTTAACTAAAAATTTAACAAAAACAAAAAATTTATAATTAATCTTTTAAACTAATTTTCTCAATGATTATTGGTCTAAAACAAATAATTTTTTATTTATTTAATATATATTTATTTTCTCTATAAAATATAAAAAAATTATTAAAATCTAATCACTAATTGTAAAGATAATTTAAATAATCTATTCTAATATGTAAAATTTTAATCATCATCATATATCTTAATTATCTTGACAACTAGTGACAGATTTTTAAGTATTTTTTTATTTTGTAGAATAAAAGTAGTACTTTCAAATAAAAAAAATTTTTCTGATTTTAATCACTAGAAGCTGAGATAATTAAAGTTAAAGTTCGGCATTTGATTTTTAACTTTATGTTATGATTCCAGTAGCGATTGTCATGATGATCATGTAACATAGTCTTTAAAGAATGCTTAATTTACTAGTATATATTTTCCAACTTTATATATAGTCTTTAATTGAAATTTTTTTTTTCTTTTATCTGATAATAGTAAACACAGATCTAAATCTTTCAGCTAATTTTAGTAATATCTATTCGATTAAATAGCAGCATTCTGATGATTGATATAAATATAAAAGTTCACGAGATAGTCAAATACCTTTGACCTATAGAAATATTTAAATATTAGATGAATGTTCAACCATATTTCTCATAAAAATTTTTCGCTATATCGAAATAACGAATGAGAGCTCATAAATATATACAACTTTTTAGGTATTAAGAGGTACACAAGTCATGATACTATAATAAAGTTAGTATATATTAGTAAAGAAAATCTTTAAAATATACCCGGAGTAGAGGTTATTATCCTGTGTTTCAATTTTAGTTTTTTAGGATTAGGGTTAGTTGGCACGTAATGACTATTTTAAATTTAATTTATTTATTTTTGGTCATAGGTTAAGAGCCTATATTCTGAATAAATTTTAAGGATGCCCATTAGTAAATTGACCCTAATAGAAGAATAAATAAGTATTAGTATAGTTTCCTCATAAAACATACTAATTTATTAATCTACACATATACTTATCTACTTAGTTTGCTAACTATTAGTGAATAAGTTATATTGATTATCTATTTAAGTTCACTCGGTAGCTATATGGTCCAACTTAACTCTAATAACTTATAAGCTATAAAAAATTAATATGCACTATCACTTAT